CGTCGCCTTCATCCATGTCTTCGTCGACGTCGTCGTCGTCGCCATCGCCGTTGTCGTCGTGTTCGTCGTCGTCGCCGCGGTCGTCGTCGTGCTCCTTGTCGTCGTCGTCACCGTCGTCTTCGTTGTCGTCGCCGTCGTCGTCGTGCTCGTTGCCGTCGTCGTCGTTTTCATCGTGCTCGTCGTCGTCGCCGTCGTCGCCGTCGCCATCGTCGTGCCCGTCGTCACCGTCGTCATCATCGTTGCCGTCGTCTTCGTCGTCGATCTCTTTGACGCAACCGTCGTCGTCGACGTCGTCGCCGTCGTCGCCGTTGTGCTCGTCGTCGTCGTCGCCGCCGACGTCGCCGTCGTAGTCGTCGTCGTCCTCGCCGTAGTCGTCGCCGTCGTCGTCGTCATTGTCGTCGTCGTCGTCGTGCTCGTCGTCGCAGACGTCGTCGTCGTCATAGTCTTCGTCGTCGTCGCCGCCATCGTCGTCGTTGCCGTCATCGTCGTCATCACCGTCGTCGTGGTCGTCGTCGCCGCCATCGTCGTCGTCGTCGTGATCGTCGCCGTCGTCTCGTCCTCGCCGTAGGTCGTCGCCGCGTTGTTTCGTTCGTCGCGCCGTCGTCCCGTCGTTGCCATCGTCGTCGCCGTCGCTTAACGTCGCCGATCGTCGCCGTCGTCGTCGGCGTCATAGCTCGTCGTCGTTCGTGTCGCCAAATGTCGCCGTCGTCGCCGCCATCGTCGTCGTATCGTCGATGAATCGTTCGCTCCGTCGTGTCCTCGCCGTAGTCGTCGCCGTCGTAGTCGTCGTCGTCGCGTCGTCGTCGTTGCCATTCGTCGTCGTCGCGCTAACGCCGCGTCGTCGCCGGTGGTCGTCCGTTCATGCTCGTCGTCGTCGTCGTCGCCAATGTCGCCGTCTGTCGCCGCCACCGCCATCGTCGTCGTTGCCGTCATCGTCGTCATCACCGTCGTCGTGGTCGTCGTCGCCGCCATCGTCGTCGTCGTCGTGATCGTCGCCGTCGTCGTCCTCGCCGTAGTCGTCGCCGTCGTTGTCGTCGTCGTCGCCGTCGTCGTCGTCGTTGCCATCGTCGTCGTCGTCGCTAACGTCGCCGTCGTCGCCGTCGTCGTCGTCATGCTCGTCGTCGTCGTCGTCGCCAATGTCGCCGTCGTCGCCGCCACCGTCGTCGTCGTCGTCGTCATGGTCGTCGTCCTGCTCGTCGTCGTCGTCGTCGCTAACGTCGACGTCGTCATGCTCGTCGTCGTCGCCACCATCGTCGTCGTCGTAGTGATCGTCGTCGTCGTCCTCGCCGTAGTCATCGCCATCGTCGTCGTCGTCGCCGTCGTCATGATCGTCGTTGTCGTCGTCGCAGTAGTCGTCACCGTGCTCGTCGTCGCCGCCGTCGTCGTCGTCGCCGTCGCCGCCGTCGTCGCCGTCGTGGTCATCGTCGCAGCCGTCGTCGCATTCCTGGACGTCGTCGTCGTCGTCGCCGCCGTCGTAGTAGTCGTCGTCGTCATGCTCGTCGACGTCGTCGTCGTCCTCGTTTCCGTCGTCGCCGTCGTCGTGGTCGTCGTCGTCGTCGTCGCTGGTTGCGCCACCGCCGCCGACAGGCCGCCAGCCGGCGCCTGCGCTGGCCTGAAGGAAGGGGGGATTTCGAACCCCCCTCTTGAACTGTCGTCAGGGTCGACCTTATCTGCCGTCGGGGATCTTCTGACCCGGGTCAATCCAGACCCGGGTCAGCAGGAAACCAAAAACTGCAATGCAGAAAAAACAAAAACAAAAAAACTGCAACGCAGATCTTCGCAAACCCGGGTCAGCCAATACGCGCGGCCGCCTCGCGGCCACGAGCTGCTCGCTAACCCGGGTCAGCCAGAGGGGGTCTTCGCAGGATCCTGCAAGATCCGGTGCCCTGGCTGACCCCCGTTTGCATTGACCCCCGTCTCGAGGCCCCCGATGCCGCCGCCGACATCCGTCGCCGGCGCTGGCGCCGGCCCAGGAGGGGGAGGGGGGCCGCCGCTGGCGCCGGCGCAGGCCCGGCGGGGGGAGGAGGGGGGGGGGTTCGAACACCCCCCTTGAACCAGGGGGGGGTCGGTTCTGGACCCCCATCCAAGCGCCCACAGAACGCGCTCTTTCTAATGGCGACACCAATGGCGACACGAACGGCGACACTCATGGCGGCACTAACGGTGGTACTAATGGCGACGCTAACGGCGACGCTAATGGCGGCACGAACGGCGACACTAACGGTGACACGAATGACGGCACGAATGGCGATACGCATGCACGTCATTGATATCCCCCCCTCTTCTTTCGATTGCGTAGATATCGTAACCACACTGGGAGGTCGCACTGAGGGCCTCTCCCCATTCAGCCCTTACTCCTCCCCAACTGTTTTGGGCCATCCCCGGGCGCCGACCTAATAATCTCCCTGCTCATCCATCCCGGCGATGGCGATGCGCGGTCGCCCGGGCGGTTGGGCCCAGCGGGCACCGGGAGAGGGGGAGGCGGAACAACAAGTAAGAACGCACGGAGAAGGAGGGAAAATATACTGAGCAAGACAAAGACTACCAGGAACGTGCGCCAAATGAAGAAACTGATGGAACATGTTATGCCATGAGTAAATTTCACTTGGAATGGCGTAAAGGAAACACAATGTTCATGGAGTTTAACGGGTTGGAGCGGGTCTACCCATCCAAACTAAATCATAAAAGCGGAGCGGATGCTTGTGCGCGAATCAGACGGGCCACAGGAGACACGAACATCTACACAGGGTCGTCGAAAACGAAGCGAGATCGAAACCTCAACCTGATTTCTGATATAAGAGAGCGGGCGAGGTGAGAATGGGGGGTTAGTACTGCAAATTCGTGTCGCGCCGACTTCGGCGTTGGTCTCTGACACCACGGGGATCGATCAACCTTGAACGATCGGCGGTTTCCGGAATGTCAGGTCATTCGACATCATCCGAATCTGGATCGCTGGCGGCATCTAACGATGAACGCCCGCGTCGGGGTCGCCGCCACTTGACACCATACGAACCTACCGCCTCAGACTTCTCCAGCGCTTCCCGGAGCCAGAGGCGCGCCACTGTATCAAGGAACGCGCCCAGCGGCGGGGCCGAAACCAGCTGCACGCAGCAGATTTCGTAACCCTCCAATTTCCATACAGTCATCGTGCTACCAAGGAGCGCTGAATAAGGGACGCAGGGGCTCTTCTAGCCACTTCTACCCTGGGCCGCGAATGGTTTCCCCAGAATAGATCCAAGGAGCGGATCGAAAAGTTGACCCCCTCCTCGGCCTAAGGCGGTACTCGTTTTCAGCGACTTCACTGTGCCCCCCTCCTTTCGCTCGACACGAACCCCGTCGAAGTCCCGCCGTCCCTCCGACCTGACCCGCATCTCGCTCTGCCTCGCTCGGAGTCACCGCAGCCTCGCACAGGGAACGACGCAGCCCACCCCCCTCTGCTTGGAGGCCCGCTCCGCGTGATCCGCTGCGGTCCGCGTGCAACGCACGCGCGCGCCAGTCGTGGTCAGCGCCGCGCCCACATCCTCCTCCTAATTTTCCTCCTCCTAATCTTCCTCCTCCCCTGATCTTCCTCCTCCTCCTCCTCCTCCACCTCTTCCTCCTCCCGGTCTTCCTCCTCCTTGTCCTCCTCCTCCTCCTCCTCCTCCTCCTCCTCCTCCCCCTCCTCCTGGTCTTCCTTCTCCTCCTCCTCCTCCTCCTCCTCCTCCTCCTCCTCCTCCTCCTCCCCATCCGTCTCCTCCTAATCCTCCTCATCCTCATCCTCATCCGCACCCTTATCCTCCTCATCGTCAAGACTCTCCCCCTCCCCGTTGTCCACCGATGGCGATAGCTTCGACGGCGACCCCGACGACGACGCAGAAAACGACATCTTCAACGATGACGACTCAACTCAACTTCCCATCTCTAGGAGCGATGTCCGATGGTCACTTCACCACATAACAAAAAATGCTTCGACGCTGAGCCAGAAGACTGACAACTTAAGTCAAGTGGGACGAGCTCTGAGCACCTGGTTACAAGGATTACCGGCTGCAACGCGCGGGAGTGGGTTTAGCTCGCTGGCTGTCGACGACGACGACGACGACGACGACGACGCGCACGGAGCCGCCGAGGGACCCCAAGAGGGCGGCCGAGGGGGCGGCCGAGGGAGCCACCGAGAAGGCCGCCGAGAGAGCCGCCGAGAGGACCGCCGGGAGGGCCGCCGAGAGGGCGGCCCCGGAGCGCTGGGCCCCAATCTTGAAGGGGCCCTGGGACACGACACACAAACAAATACACACAAATAAACAGATTCCCCATATTTTCCTATATCTTATGGGTTCTTGTCTTCCCCCCCACTTCCCATATTTTCCCATATTTTCTGGGGAATCGAAGATTGATTGTGTCTGTGCGTTTTTTCCCTCCTGAAATCTATCCTTGGTGTCCCCAGGGGCATCCAGGACAACAATCTTCAGGGCTCGGGAGGGCCGCCGGAGTGGGCGGCCCCAGAGCGCTGGGCCCTGGGGATGGCCCCAATCTATCCCTGGTGGCCTCATGCCGAAGACAGCCCCCAGAGGCTGAAAGGAAGGAAACGCCGCAGGGGCTGAAGCTCAGATCGTCGGAGAGACCGTCGCAGATCTCGGCGCTCCCTGCGGACAAGGGAAAGACTCGGCCATGCTGAACTCGGCCAGGCTGAATTCGGCCCGGGCCGAATTCAGCTCGGCCAAGTTCAGCCTGGCCGAGATAAGCCGGCCGAGGTCAGCCTGGCCGAGCTTTTCCTGGTCGAGTGCAGCCCTGCTGAGCTTTTGCTGGTCGAATTGAGGAAACCAACAGGTACCGATGCTGCTACTCCCCTGACCTCTCCCCGGATGTGTTCTGACCAGAACTTCGAAGCGAATCCAGCCGTGGCGACGAGGACCTCCAGGCGGTCCAACAAAGGCAAAATCGAGGCAAGGCAGCGGTAAATCAGAAAGATCAGATCGTCGGAGAGAGAGATCGTCGCAGATCTGGGCCCCGCTGCGTCGGCACGGCGCGGCCTCGCCGACGAGCCCCTTGGCCGCCGCGTGCGCCTCGGGATCGCCTCCACGCTCGGCGCGCGCGGGCTTCGCCTGGGCGCTGGCGGGCCCGTCGGCGCGCGCGCGCTCGCGCAGGGGCTGGGACGTCGGCGTCGCAGAACCTCGTCGTCGCTGGAGGGCTGGAGGGATCGAGGGCTCGAAGGTTCGAGGCGTCAGGTTGAAAGGTTCGAGATCGAAGGTGGACGCTCGAGGGTTCGAGGGCTCGAAGGCTCGAATGTTCGAGGGCTCCAAGCTTGAGGACTCGAGGGCTCGAGACTTCGAGGCAAAAGGTCGAGGCTCGAGGTTCGAGGCTCGACGAGCTCACATGCGCGGTCCAGGAGGCCGCCTGGAAGGCCGTCGGCGCTCTCCGGAGCGCGCTGCATGCGCCAACAAAGGTGCCAGGTCCGGCTCGAACTCTGGCCAAGCCCGCGCCAGCAGGAGCGAGCCTCCCCTTCTCGAGACTCGGGGCGGCCAACCAAAAAGCAGTGGTGCCCCAGCGATGAAAACATCTCCAGGCTGGCCAGGCTTCGAGCTTCGCTGGATCACAGGGAGGAGGTGAGAAAGTCGAGTCTCGAGGTTCGAAGGTCGAGATTCGAGGTCGAGAGACGAGGTTCATGGTTCGAGGGTCGAGGGCTCGTGGGCTCGAGGGCTCACGGGCTCAAAGGCTCGAGGATTCGAGGCTCGAAGGCTTGAGGCTAGAATGCTCGAACGTTCGAGGATCGAAGGTTCGAGGGCTCGAGCTTCGAATGCTCAAGGTTCGAATGATTGGGGTTCGGATGTTCGAGGCTCGGAGATTCGAAAGTCCAAAGGTCCGAATGTCCAGGTTCAAAAGCTCGGGTGATCGAGGAACGGGGCTTCAAGGGCTCGAGCTTCGTAGGCTCGAGGGCTCAAGGCTCGCAAGATCGAGGTATCGAGGATCGAAGTTCGAAGGTTGGAGGTTTGAAGACTCGAAGGTTCCACGTTCGAATATTCGAGGTCGACAAACGAGGTGCGAGGTCTGAAGGTTCGACATTCGAAACATTGAAGGTTCGACGTTTCGATGATCGGAGCAAACGTGATCCACCGCCGCTTTACTGTGGAAAATTCCCCCCCCTCTTCCTCCGAAACCCGGGGGTCCCCCCTCCCCCTACTCCGAAAATCCCCCCCCTGCTGGACCCCCCCCCCCCCCCCCCAACACCCCCCCCCCCCCCCACCCCCTAACCCCCCCCCCCTCCAGAAAACCAGGGGGGTCAGGGGGGGTCACTCCGGTTCGAACCCCCCCCCCCCCCTCCGGAAAACCGAAGGGGGTCACTACCAGTTCGAACGCGCCCCCCCCCCCAAGAAAACCAGAGAAGCGGTCACTACTGGTTCGAACACCCCCCTCCGAAAAACCGGGGGAGGTCACTACTGGCGGTTCGACCCCCCCCCCCTCAAAAACCGTGGGGTCACTACCGGTTCGAACCCCCCCTTCTCTCGGGGGGTCACTACCGGTTCGAACCCCCCCCCTCGAGAACCGGGCGGGTCACTACCGGTTCGAACCCCTCCCCCCTCCACGCTCACCGCCAGCAAACAACTCAGGGTCCGTACCACCGTCCGCACCACATCCCCCACTGCTGTCCCCAGCACCACTGTCCTCACCACCACTGTCCCCACTGTCCCCACCACCGTCACCACTGTCCTCACCAGTGCCCCCACCACTGTCGCACTGTCCCCACTGTCCCCACCACTGTTCCCACCACGGTTCCACTTCCCACTTTCTCAACGGCCCCAACCACTGTCCCACTGTCCACAGTGTTCCACTGTCCCACTGTCCCCGCCGCTGTCCCACTGACCTGTCCCACTGTTCCCACCACTGTCCCCACTGTCCCCACCACTGCCCCTACTGTACCTCTGTCCCATTATCCCACCGCCGTCCTCGCCACCGCCCTCACCACTGTCGCCACCACCACTGTACCCTCCACTGTCCCACTATCTGCACCACATTCCCACTTTCCCCACACCACTGTCCCCACCACCACCGTCCCCACCACTGTCCCACTGTCCCCGCTGTTCCCACCATTGTCCCCGCTGTCCCCGCCAGTGCCCCCACCAGTGTCTCACTGTCCCCACTCTCCCCGCCATTGTCCCACCACAACCCCGCTCTCCCCACTTTTCCCCACGGTCCCCACCACTGTCCCTCTGTCCCCACTGTTCCCACCACTGTCCCCACTGTCCCCGCCGCTGTCCCACTGTGCTGTCCCACCGTCCCCACTGTCCCGATCACTGTCCCACTGTCCCCACTGTCCCCACCACTTTCCCCACTGTACTACTGTCCCACCACTGTCCTCACCACCTGCTTCACCACTGTCCCCACCACTACCGTCTCTACCACTGTCGCACTGTCCCCACCAGTCCCGCTGTCCCCTCACCACTGTCCCCACCACCACCGTCCCCACCACTGTCCGTCCGCACCACTGTCCCACTGACCCCACCACCACCGTTCCCACCACTGTCCAATCATCCCCACCATTCTCTAACTGTCCCGAGGAGCGGGCATCGTTTGCCGGCGTGCTGGCGGCGAGAGGGGGGGGGTTCGAACCGGTAATGACCCCCCCCCCGGTTTTCGAGGGGGGGGGGGGGGGCGGTTCGAACCGGTAGTGACCCCCCCCCGGTTTTCGAGGGGAGGGGGGGGGTGGACGGGGTAGGAACCCCCAGTGACCCCCCCCGGTTTTCCGCCAGCAGCGGTAGAACACGCTCTTTCGATGATCGAGGGTTAGCGGTTCGAAGCTTCGAGGCTCCAACGATCGAAGTTCGAGGGCTCGAGAGCTCGAAGGTTAGAAGGTCGAGGCTTTAATGTTCGAGATTCGAATGTTGAGGTTCGAAGTACGAGGGTCGACGTTTCGAAAGTTCGAGATTCGAAGGTCGAGGGCTCGAGGTTGACGGTTCGGCGATCGATCGAGGTCGAATGTTCGAAGGCTCGAGCTGCGATGTCCCAAGGTCAAGGTTCAAATGTTCAAAGGTTCGAGATCGAAAGTTCGAGGGATCTAGGTCGAAGGTTCGAGACTCGAGGTCGAAGGTTCGAAAGTTGGGAAGGTTCGAGGTTCGACGGTTCCACGTTCGAAGGTTAGACGGCTCGTAAAAGGTCTAGATTCCTAGGCTCGAAGGTTGGAATGTGATGTTTGAAGGTTTGAGGGTCGACCATTCAAGGTCGAAGGTCGCGGCTCGAGGTTCGAGGTTGGAGGGTTCGGAAGTTCAGAGGCTCGAGGGCTCGAGAGCTCGAGGTTAGCAAATTCGAAGCTCGATGGTCGAAGGTTCGAGATTCTAAAGCTGAGGCTCGAAGGCTCGAGATTCGGGGTTCGAAGATTCGAGATTCGAGGGCCGAGGTTAAGGGCTCGCAGGCTCGTGGTTCGGAGGTTAGAGGTTCGGAGGTTGGAGGTCGAAGGTCGAGGAGCGAAGGTCCAGTTTCGGGTGGGCTGGGTGGCCGTTCGAGGTTGAAGTTTTGGTTTTTTGGAGCGTCGCTCGACCTTCCTACGCGTCTAAGAAGCCTCTCGCCGCCACGACTGGATTCCACTCTGGCCCAATGTGGGCAGCCTCGAGAGGGGGGGGGGGGGCTCAAGCGTGTGGCTATGCATAGGCAGTCCGTGGTATGCCTCAAAGGGTGTTCAATGATATCAAAGGAGCTCTAGCCACACGTAATAAAAAAAACACATCTATTGCAATCAATATTTGATCATCCAGTCCACTGTTTTCTCAACGGTGTTTTCGGATTGGCGTTTCTTTCATTCAGGGGGAGGGGGAGGAAGAGCGAGAGTTAAAATATTTCGGTTTGGGGTACGTTTGCGCCTTTGGGGACCTCCAAGGATCTTCGAGGGATCCGCCTGGGCCATGCCCTTGGGGAGGAGGGGCAGGCGAGGAAGAGGGAGGTCTGCAAGGACGTGGGGAAGGGGTGATGAGAGAGGGAGGGGATGGGGGGATGGCAAAACACGAGCGAAGAAAGGGGCCCTCGATGGGGGCCTTGTTACTGACCTCTGCACTCCACTCTCACCATTCTGCTGGTCCACCCTTCCGACGGACCAAACTGGACCTCCAATTCCCCCCTCCCGCACATGGGACGCCCAAGCAGAAGGGCAGGGACGAGCAGAGGTGCAAGACGAGGATGCCCAAGAAGCAGCGGAGGGAAAGGCATGGGTGATGTAGCCGAGGCTGTGCTTGAGGAGCTCTGGACAGGGGCCGCCGGTCTCAGATTATCAGTTCTGTGGTTCTCGCGGCATCGCACTTCGCACAAACGCGGATACATCCTGCCTACACTTTGACCCAGGACCCCCCATAATTCTGCGAGCGGACCCACATGAGAAGGTAAATGTTGCACGGCCCCGCAAGGTGAAGCAATTGAAAGAGCACTTCAGACGGGGGCTGCTCTCTCACCTCTCTTCCTCAGGACAAGCAAAACACAGCATAAACAGCTTCTGTCGGCGGCCCACGCCAAGTTCTTGGATAGGCGCAAGACGCCCCTGGCGCACGCTGCGCGCCAAGGAGGGGGGCCTAGCGCCGCCCTAAGAACTCCGCGTGTAGCTTGGCAACCTGATGTTGGTGCCACATGTTGAATTTGATTCCTGACCGTGGCCCCTTCCGCGCCGATGCCTCGGCACAGTTTGCGGCGTGCACGCAGAAGCAGATGGTGGCGATCCCGATGCTCTCCTGCGCTGCGGTTGGGCTCAAGAGCGTGACTGGCCAACCAGACGTGCCCGACCCCTGTTGGTCAGCTTCCTGAAGCACCAATCGGGGTTCATAATTCGGTCGGGAGGAGTCTGCACATGATGTCGCAGGAAGAAAACAGAAAGCTGCATGAACTAAAACGGAGGTTCGCGCGGATTTCTTGGATCGGTGATGGACCCTCCTCCCTGGCGCGCGGAGCGGGCAGGGGCGGCGCCAGGGGCGCCGCCAGGGAGCCCAGCGCCGATTCAAGAAATCCGCGCGGAGCTCGGAAAGTTTGTGCTTATGAACATATTTCTCCTCGGGCGTCTGCAACCAAAGCAAACCCAACGGAGGTGTCCGATGCCCCAGCTTCGATTGGACCCTCAAGGGTGGGGTTCGAACTTGGTCGCAAAGCGGGGAGAAATGTCAGCCAGGCGTGCGCGCCCGATACAGCGACGGCCCATCTACACACTCCGCTAAGCTGGCCGGGAAGCAGCCGCGCAGCCAGTCAGACACCAAGGCTCGTAACTCAGCATCCAAATTGATGGGTAGGGGACACATGACGCATCAAAAAACACGGACGCGCTCAAACATGTTGCCTTCCGGCACATGGCCAGTTGCTAGGGACGGACACGCCCACCACACGTTCACACACACAGCTTCTCCTTTTAGCGTCGCAGCCGCGCACGCAACGACGCGGCGGAGGCAGTCGGAAAGTCTGAGAAACGCCCGAAAAGCCGCCGATGCCACCCCACCATGCACCCACACACAGACACTTTTGTCTTTGGCAGCGCGTCAGAGGCAATCCACACGTGCGCTCGAATAGCTGGGGGCGCTCAGCCTACTACTTGTCCGACTGCAAAAAAAAGGGAAGGGCGACCGCGAAGGACAGAAGTGGGAGGAGGGCACTCACCGCGGAAAGAATTTCAGGATGAGCGCGCCGTTGCGGCCAGCCGGGGCCGAAGTGTCCTGGCATGGGGCGCGGGACGGCGTCGAGGCCACACCCAGGGACCGAAGCCAAGGGTGCAGGCGCAGGGAAGCGTGATAAGCAAGGTGAACCAGGGCTCCGGCGAGAACGGCAGGAAGAGGCCCACGGCAGCGGGAGCGGGAGCATCCGAATGTCCACCACGAAGCGCCGACGGCAGATTCTGCTGCAGCAGAGCGGCGCCAGCAGGATTCACGCACACGGTCCACATGGCCTTACGAGGAGCACGCGCGGGGCCGCGCCACTGCACGCGGGCTGCAGCAGCATGCTGCCTGACGAAGCCCCCAGGATGCATACACACAGACACACAAAGTACCATCTAATTCGACTCGATACCTCGGCTCGCATGGCTCATGGGCGCTGGTCACCCACGAGCGCAACCACATCCCGCATTTGGTCGCCACCTGCCAGGCCTACGACAATTCGGCCTTCGACGCGGCGCCGCTCTGTAGCCGGTGCCCACATGGGAGCAAATGCCAAGGCAACTTGTGGGTGCGAGGGGCTTGTTCTGTAAATGCTCTCGGGAACGTCCGCTACCAAAGCCGCCCCCCCCCCGGTAGCGTGACGCTCCGCGCCAACGCCGTCTGGAAGTGGCAACGGGAAGCTACCAGTTCCCAGGCGGCGATTGCGCAACTTGTAACGTCACTGGCCCTATGCCCCTCCCTGGTGACGCCCCTTGCCGCCAAGGGGTACAACAGCGGGTTCGGCGGGGGGTGGCTGCGTCAAGCGGCGATGACCTCTTCCCCCCCAAGCCCTTCTGCTCTGCTCGGGCTTTGCGCGGCGGGGATTCCTAAACAACCGATGCCTGGGGGGCGATTTCCGGGGGCCTCGGCAGGCGGGGGATGTGGGCGCAGTTTGCCCCCAGGGCCAGAATAGCTCCATGTCCACCGCCTGCAGATGTCCCTGACGATCGATCTCCCAGGCGGTGGCTATGGACAGACCCCCGCAGAGGAGGGCTGCGCACTTGGAAGTCCCCAGGGGCACCCGTGGCAGCCTTCGGCGAACCCCCGCAGGGAAGCCCGGGGCGATCCCCACACTTCGTCGCCGCCTCTGGCGACGCCACAATGCGCGTTCCGCGCGCTGGGGTGGGGTGCCCTCGATCGGCGGCGAGCCCAAGGTTGAATGCAGAGGGGGCGGTCATGCCCACAAGGCTCGGAAGGCCTCCGGCCCTCTGAGAAGTTTTCTAAATCTCCTTCGAAGGTCGGGACGACTTCTCAGACGGCCGGAGGGCTTCTGAAAAGCCCCGCCGCCTTCTGAGGAGGCCTGCCCCTGGCACTTCCCCCCTGGGCGCGCCGCCGAGGCCTGCTGGCTGAAGAGTAAAAACTGCCTCCACGGGCGGCCTGTGCGTAGCTCTGCGGGGGCATTGCCGCTTCCCTTGCCGTCCCGCGGCAATCGCTCTGGCCGGGCTCCCCTCCCCAGGAGCCGCTGTCCACCGCCGTGCCTCGCGCAATTCGGAATGCCTCAGGCACGGGACGGGGGCGGGATGGGCCAAAGGCTACCAAATCATCATGACCCCGCGACACGTGGCTCCTCGCAACAAGTTCGAACGTCCTCTGGCGTGGCTGGCGGAACCGTGCGATCAGTTCCCAAACGCCAAGCTGCCAATCTGAGGGGTAGAAACGATCCTCGACCGTGTAGACCGATGTTGAAAGTCTTCGTTCCCCAGTATCTTCACTGGTCCTGGGACGGCGGCATCCGAACAGCTACCGACGTGACCGCGTCAGGAACAATTCACCTTGCCACCGGCCGAATGGCAGGCTTCAGCGCGCGTCTTGTGCAAATGTCACAGCGCCGGTGGCCCAGTGCAGCTCGTCCTACTTCGAATTCCGCCTGCCGTGTCGTAATGCTCGGCGTCGGATGTTGCGTGGGTTGATGTCAAAATCCCGACACGTACCCATTACCAAATGTACCATGTGAGCCGCTGTTATTGAACTTCTGGGGCAACCACACGACGAACGGGTCGATAGCACGCCGCGGCTTCATACCAAAATCCCCAAAACATTCGAACCAGCAACAGATCAGTCTAAGCAACATTCCAACCAAACTTCTACAAACATTCGAACCACCAACCAGCAACGTTCGAACAAACATGTAAGACGGCCCCTCCGCTTACCAATTGAGCCACCCCAAAACAATCGATCTCAAACCGATATCGCTTGCGACAATCGTAACACTTGTCGTCGTCGGGATGGACAAGAAGATCAGGGATGTCACTCCGAAGTGTGGCCCGGTCCTGCTCGAAAGGCCGCTGGGAGACACGGCGAGGGCGGCTGAAACGCAAATGTGGTAGAGGGAACACGCGCTCTGGACGAAATCACCAGAGCGCTTCTTCAATTCAGCCTTGTAGGATGGGCGGGCCTGCGTTGAACGCCAGTCTGTCCCCAATATGCTGCCAAGGGGGTCTTTCCAAGCAGATTGGCGTCCCTGCCGACAATGAACCATGCACTATGCGAGTCACTTCCGATACGAACCCAGAGCCGGTGCGGCATCCCACCACAGCTGACTCCTAAAATCTTGGGGCCGAAGTAGAGGATTGTCTTGGCTAGTGAGGCCCGTTGCGCATTCGGCCCAGGCGGCTGCGTAAATGGCGCGCAACATGCGGCGCGTGCAAAACTTGATTTAATGCCCGCGTAGAGAAACAACTGGCGGGTATGCTTCGCCGATCGTCGGTTGAGCTCCACGGCGCGTTCCGCCAGACGACGGCGAACCCGAAGCATTTGGCGGATCCACTTGAGCTCCCATCGTTGGATCTCCAGGAGTAAAGTTGCGGTTGCATGCCAAGAGCACCATCCGAATGGCGCCGAAGTGGCCGGGGAGGTCGCCCACGCCAGGAGTCTCGGCAGGACGGGGACCCGAACCTGAAATAGCTTTTGCGTGTGAAGAACACTCGGTCCCAAACCGTCTGTCGGAATCGCACGATTGCCGTAGAAAGCCCCTCCCTGTCGAACAAGTCCCCCGACAGAATCATATCATCGACGATGTTGTAGATCTCGCGGGTGTGCTTATGTCCGGTAGCAAATCCCACCAACCTTCTGGGCGTAGGTGGCTTAGGGAGTTTCCTCTTCCACCCCTCCTTCTTCCCCTTCGGGGATCCCCCTGCCCTACCCCCTCCCCTGGACCTGGACAGGGGGTTCCGCGAGGTGTCGGAGCGTCCAAAACGGCCTCGGCGAGGAAGCCAAAATCACTCGTTGTATTAAGGTTTTGTTTCCATTTTGGCCTCTTGGGGGGGGGCGGGGGGGGGGCGCTAATTGAAGCTCCCCTCTTGTTTGATCGATCTCCTCCAAGATGCCCCAAGAAGCGCCCAGGAGGCCCCAAGAGGTCCCCAAGATGGGCCCCAAGATGCCCCCAAGAGGCCCCAGGAGGCCCCCAAAAGGATCCCAAGCGGCCCCAAGGAGAGAGTGCTTCCGGCTTTTACGCCGAAGGCCTACTAGTGGCCGTACTAGTACGCCGAAGTACGCCTACTAGTACGACCCGGCGAGTCGTACTAGTACGCCGAAGTACGCCTACTAGTACGCGCCTACTAGGTCGTACTAGTACGACTAAGTACGCCTACTAGTACGACCCGCTGCGGTCGGGAGGCGTACTCGTAGGGCCGAAGTACGCCTACTAGTACGACTCCGCGGGTCGTACTAGTACGGCTAAGTACGCCTACTAGTACGACCCGCTGCGGTCGGGAGGCGAACCCGTAGGGCCGAAGTACGCCTACTAGTAGGCGCCGAAGTACGCGTACTAGTACGGCTAAGTACGCCTACTCCGGCGGGTCGTACTAGTACGGCTAAGTACGCCTACTAGTACGACCCGCGGCGGTCGGGAGGCGTACTCGTGGGGCCGAAGTACGCCTACTAGTACGACTCCGCGGGTCGTACTAGTACGGCTAAGTACGCCTAGGCGTACTCGTACGAAGTTACGCCTACCGACTCCGCGGGTCGTACTACTACGGCTAAGTACGCCTACTAGTACGACCCGCTGCGGTCGGGAGGCGAACCCGTAGGGCCGAAGTACGCCTACTAGTACGACT